GCGGCTGCTCGAGGAGTACCTGCAGAGGTGTTGCGAGGCAGCGCCATGGCCGACGTCCTGGCGGGCCATGCTGCCAAGCAGTGCCGACTACCAGCGGATGTTCGAGCACGTGTGCGTGATGTGGAGTACATGGCCGCCATGGCGCGGTGGAGGCTATTGCGCTCGACGCTGGACGCCGCAGCGGCTCGGGGCGCCAGGCCGTCCCAGCGCAGGAAGCGTCGGCCACGGCGCGTCCCACCAGCGCCACGAGTGGCAGCAGCCTTTTCTTCCCAGCACGTGCTTCATGCGGATGGTCGCAGTTGCCAGCGATGCCGTTGTTCCGCAGGGCACTCCACCCAGACCGAGTGGCTCTCCAGGTCGTTTGAGGGCTTGGTCGATGCGGAAGCTGGACTGGCCAGGTTGGGGCCCATTGCTGGAGGTGTTGATGGTGTTCTCAAGATTGCCGATCAGGGTGTGGACAGCTCGCGCACGATGAGGTGGCATCGAGATCTAGATGTATGGTTCTGCCGAGCATGCGGGTGCTTCGCGCGTCCTGCCCTTCGCACCCTGGGTCGTGGGCTGCTGGCTCCGTGTCTCGGACGACCATCTGACACGGGAAGCGTGTACTTGGACAGGCTGAGTAGGGGTCTTTGGCCCAAGGTGGGCGCGCCTCAGGGGTACGTCGAGCAGTACTTGGACCTTGACGATGATGAGCACTTTCGAGGAGCCAGCCCTGGAGGACAGGTTGCACGGTCGGGTGCTCAGCAGGCACGAGTGGCGAGCAGGTGGCCCAGAGCCTCGGCACCAGGACGGAGGCGGCGTCCGCGGCCGAGATCCTGCAGGCCCGAGGGGCTCGCGCTGAGGCGACGGGCGGCCAGGCCCACTGCTGACGGCGCGGGCTTGCGGTGGGGCCGCGGGCGCAGCCCTGCGTCAGGCCCCGCAGTCGAGGGCGGGGCGAGGCGACGCCCGCGCTCCACCTCGGGGCCTGAGCTGAGGGCGACCTGCGCGAGGCTTCTGGCGGCAGCTCGGCGCCCGCTGGACGAGGTCGACGGGCCAGCTGGCAGCGTGGTGGCGCCAGCTGGGTTGGGCGCGGAGGCGCCTCCCGTTGGAGCAGTCAGGCGGTGTCGGAGCGCTTCGCCGTCCGGAGCTTCGCGGGCGACGCGGCCTCGCGTCGAGCCTCGTGCGGCCCCGGGCGGCGGCGCTCTTTTCAGTCCCCGCGCCGACCACAAAAGGGCACCGGGCATTGGCGATGCGCGGGCGGCTTGCCCAGCAGGGGCTGCTGGCGCTGGCGCGGGCGCCCGCGGAGGCGCTGCTGGCGGGGCTGCTGCTGGCACGGACGGCCTCCCCAGCCAGAGAGGTGGCGAGAGGAGCGACCCAGGGGGGCCAGTCCCGATGGGAGCGGCCCCCCAGGGTCCAAGTTGCGGATCAGGCAGTTGGGGGAACCCTGCGATAAATTGCCCCAGCGACCGACTTGGAGGACGACATCCTGCGCGCCAGCCTGGAGCGCACGGGTGTCCTCGCCAGTTCGACGTCGTCGAGCCCTTCGAGCAGGTGGGCTCCGTGGACGCGGCTGGCGGCGTCGGCAGCGCGTGGCCGACCTTCGGAACCGTGGGCGACGTGGAGGTCGGGTCGGCTTTCGGCGACTACGACAAGGCGATCTGCGAGGACCTCAAACGGGGCCGCTCCGCCGAGCGGCCGTGGCGAGGCGCGAGGCCGCGCCTGCTGGGCGCCGAGGCGGTGGCGCCGCCCGCGGCTCGGCGCAGGCGGGCCCTCTCGCCTCCTGGCGAGCGGCGGGGCCAGAGGGCGCGGCTCGGCGGCGTGGAGCTGCCGCCCCGATATTCGCCGAGCTCGGCGGCGGCGCCGCCCGCGCGGGGCCGCGCGGCTGGGCCTCGCTGGGCGGCCTGAGCGCCCGCCGCGGCCCGCGGCCGAGGCCCGCCCCGCGCGCGGCTCGGCCGTGGGCGTTCGCCCGACGGGATCTCCCGCCACGTCCCCCTGCGGGCGGGAGACGGTCGTGGCTACGCTCCGCCCGCGCGGGCGGCCGAGGGGCGCGTGTCGCGCGAAGTCCCCGCGGACTTCAGACGCTCGCCTTCTTGGGTCCGAATGCTCCGAATGCTCCTCCCCCTTCCTCCTCTTCCTCCTTCTGCTCTCTCCTCCTGTTTCTCTTCCTCCTCCTCCTCCGCGCTCATCCCCCTCCCCCCCGTCCTCCTCCTCCCCCCGCCTCTTCTTTGTCACTCCTCGCCTCCTCCTCCTCCCTCCTCCTCCTGCTCCTCCTCCTCCTGCTCCTCCTCATGCTGCTCCTCCTCCTCGTCCTCCTTTATCTTCCTCCTGCTGCTCCTCCTCCTCCTCCACTTCCTCTTCCTCTTAGTACTGCTCCCTCCTCCTCCTCCTCCTGCTGATGCTCCTCTTCGTCCTTGTGTTTGTTTGTTGTTTGTTTCCTTGTTCTCTCTCTCTCTCTTTCTCTCTCTCTCTCTCTTTCTTGTTGTTTCTCTCTCTCTCTCTCTCTCTTTCTCTCTCTCCCTCTCTCTCTCTCTCTCTCTCTCTTTCTCTCTTTCTCTCTTTCTCTCTCTCTCTCTCTCTCTACATTTCTCTTTCTCCTCCCCCTCCGCCTCCCCCTGTTCCCCCTCTCCTTCCCCCCCCCTCCTTCCTCCTCCTCCTCCTCCTCCTCCTCCTCCTCCCCCTCCCCCTCCTCCTACTCCCCCTCTTCCTCCTTTTGCTATTTCCTCCTGCTTCTCCTCCTCCTCCATCCCTCCCCCCCCTCCTCCTCCTCCTCTTCCTCCTCTCCTCCTCCTCCTCCTCCTTCCCCTCCTCCCCCTCCTCCTCCTCCATTTCCTCCTCCCTCTCATCATCAGTTCCTTTCCTTCCTCTTCCTCCTCTCTTCCTCCCTCTCCTCCTCCTCCTCTTCCTCCCTCCCTACCTCTTCCTTCCACTCCCCTCCCCAACTTTCCTGCTTCTCGTCCTCCCCCCTCCTCCTCCTCCTCTCCACTCCTCCTCCTCCTCCTCCTCCTCCTCCTCCTCCTCCTCCTCCACCTCTCCTCCCCCCTTCCTCCTCCTCCTCCTCCTCCTCCTCCTCATCCTCCTCCTCCTCCTCTTCTTCTCCTCGTCCTCCTCCTTCTCCTCCTCCTCCTCTCCTCATCTGCTCTCTCCTCTGCTTCTCGTCGCCCCCCCCTCCTCCTCCCCCCGTCCACCCTCTCATCCTCCTTCTTCATTCCCCCTACCCCCTCCCCATCCTCCTCCTGCTCTGTCTTTCTCCACATCCGCTTCTTTCTCTCTCCTCCTGCTCCTCATCCCCCACTTCCTCCTTCTCCTCCTCCCCCTCCCCCCGCTCTCGCCCCCTGCTTCTCCTCACCCTTCCTCCTTCGCTCCTCCTCTCCCCTTCTCCTCCCCCGCCCCCTTCCTCCCCCTCTCCCTCCTTCCCTCCCGCCCTTCCCCTGCTCCTACTCGTCCTTCTCCTCCTCCTCACCCGCCTCATTCCCCTCCCCTCCTCCGACACCCTTTCCTCCCCCACCTCCCCCCTTCAGCCTCCTCCTCCTTCTCCTCCTCCCCCCTGTTCTCTCTCCTTCTCCCCCCCCCCCCCCTTTTCCCCCTGCCCCCTCCCCCCCCCTCCCCGTCCTCCTCCTTATTCTGCTCTTTCCTCCTGCTTCTCCTCCTCCTCCCTCTTCCCCCCCTTCTCTTCCTCATCCTTCTCCTCCTCCTCCCTCCGCTTCCCCATCCTCCTTCCCTCCTCCGCCCCCTCCTCCTCCTCCTCCTCCTCCTCCTCCTCCTCCTCTTCCTCCTCCTCCTCCTTCTCTTCCTCCTCTTTCTCCCCCTCCTCCTCCTCCTCCTCCTCCTCCCCCCCCTTCCGTCGCCCCTTTGGCTCAAGATCGGGGCATGCCCGTTTTGAGTCAGGCAGCCCTCCTTCAGGGCTAATCCCTCCTGCCATGGCCGAGGGCGCCCATAGCGGAGACGCTAGCGATCTCGGAGGGCATGGCCATGGCAGAGCTTAATCGCACCATGCTACTAGAGAGCGTGGACAACGCATTCGACCTGATGAGGCCCTACATGTTGGCGTCTAGGTTTCCAATGATCAGCGCCACCGACTCCAGGGGCGGTTACGACTTTGTGACCAACCCCAAGGCGGGCCTGGCCGAGGACAAGCGAGCGGCGATCGACGTCGCCATCGTTCGAGCTGCCACGCAACGGCCAGAAATACATCTACGATGGATCGAGGGGACCAGCCAGCTCACATATCCACTGCCAAAGCGCAAGGGCGAGAGCGCACTACTACGACAAGCGCTACACGACGGGAGTACGGCATCACCGCCGACAGTATCGTACTACGCCGTGGGTACGAGGACAGAGTTCAGCGTCAGAAGAAGGAGAACGTCACTTTCGCCTGCGTGACGCATTGTTGCTTCTCTGGCCTCCATCTCTACGAGATGGACTGCACTGGCGCTTCTCGCGCCATCAGCAGCACGGACGACCTCAACTACGAGCCTGAGGCCTACAAGCGGCTCAGGGATATCCCGCTGACCTTCCAGGAGCAGCAGGAGGCGGCTCTTTCGAGCCAGGGAGGGAATGAGGTCGAGGACTAGATCGGGTTCTGAACAATAGAGTACAGCCAGTGTGATTCTAGAGGCTCGCAGGGACCCGTGAAGCCACTTCGGGGCCTCTAGTTGCATACATAGCTTAGCCCAGGACGCTGAACCCTTTTTCCTGTTCCGCTGTTTTGGTTCAGCAGAAGGGGGCCTGTCGGCCCCCTTCCAGGAACATGTGCGCTGGGTACTGAAAAGGAGCCTGCCACTTCTACGCCCAGAGTCGCAGCATCTCAGTTGATGTACCATGGATCTTTGAGAACCAGGAGCCCATCCACACAGAGGGCGGCAAGGGGGAGGACGGCAGGAGGCAATGGAGGAGTAGGGAGGGGATGAGGGAGGCGGGGGCAGGCTGGAGGGTGGGGTGGAAGGAGAGGGATGGGGAGAGACGCGGATAAGGCGGAGTGTCTAGCCTTGAGGGTCCCCCAGCGGAGTTCCCCGGTCGAGCAGGACCACCTGGAGGAGCTGAGGACGAGCCGCGTATCAGCGTCGCGCCAGTCTGAAGAGGCAGCGGGGACAGGAATGGATGTGGGGCGGTGAAGGCGAGGATGGTGATGGTGAGGGCGAGGAAAGTTGTGAGAGAGTGGGTGTGTGTGTGTCCACTTGCCGTACGTTCGGGCCTGCAGGATCGCCTCGGGTTCGCTGCCCAGCCACACCAGCCTGGACTCGACGTTCAGGCTTGTCTGATTGCATGTTGCACGCGCCAGTCCGTCCGCCCACCTGCTCCACGGGCGTTCGCCCAGCGCAGCCGCCTTCTCCTTTTTCTGCACGACGATTCGCCTAGCGCATTCCAACATCTGCAACGCCAGGTACAAAGCACGTTACACGCGCCTGGCTCTACCCGTCGCCGCAGTGACGTCACTCGGCCACCAGAGGAATGTGTGTATGTGTGAGAAGGCGAGACCTCTCTGACCATTTCCACCCGGGGCTGGCTTGCGGACGCCCTCGCCGAGAGAAGTGTGTGTGTGTGTATGAAAGAGAGAGAGAGAGAGAGAGAGAGAGAACAAAAAAAGGATTTCCACGCTGTCCTGATCCGCGCTCTCTCGCTTGACTTGCCATCCGCCGCGCCGCCGCGCGCGTGGCCGCGACGCCAGAAAGTGTGTGTGTGTGTGTGGAGGGTATGAGAGAGGGTAAGGGTGAATGGGGATTGTGGTGGAGAGGGTGATGTTACGAACGAGGCCGAAGATTTACCATGCACTTGAGTTGCAATCGATTCTACATGGATGGAGGATGCACTGCCCAGCGTGCTAGGATGGGGGATACATTGCCCGGCATGTGCTAACCTGGCGCCCCTGCAGGCCTCATGCGGGGATTACACCGCTTCCTCCCATGCAGTAGCCAACCAACCTCCAGACCCCAGCCTGCCAGCCAAGTGTTTGCGTGTGTCAGGACGCCACCATATGCTTCGAGCGTGATGAAGCAGCCGTGGCGTGATGGCACACTGCCTTGACACTGCTGAAGGTGCCCGTGGCCAGGCTGAGGATGGGTGTAGATACCTTCCCGGTAAGCCAGGGGGGGCGCGCACGCCGATCCCGGGCTCAGTACGGGCGGGCCAGGGCCGGTGTCGGCATGTGGGGGTGTGGCCAGCCTCCTCTTTCATGGGGACGCTGGGAGGAGACGACGATGGAAGAGGACGAGGAGGAGGAGGAGGAGGGGGAGGAGGAAGGAAGGATGAATGGATAGATCGGATGTACATGGTGACTGGGGGGGGGGAGGAGGAAGAGGATCAGGATCAGGATCAGCATGAGGAGGAGGATGACGAGGACGAGGAGGAGGATGAGGCGGAGGAGGGGAAGAAGAAGGAGCAGGAGGAGCAGGAGCAGGAGGAGGGGGAGGCTGAAGGGCAGGATGAGGATGGGGCGGGTTGTTCCGCACCGCCAGGTGCGTGTGAGGAGGAGGCGGGGGAGGGGGGGAGGGATGAAGGAGAGGACGAAGGCAATTGCTGGAAGGAGGAGGAGCAGGAGGAGGAGGAGGATCAGGATAAGGATCAGGATCAGGAGGAGGATCAGGAGGAGGAGGATATGCAGGAGGAGGATGAGGAAGAAGAAGAAGAGAGATAGAGGATGACTGGGAGGAGGGGTAGGGGGGGAGGAGACGAGGAGGAGACGATGAGGGGGCGAGGAGAGGACGAGGATGAGGATGTGGCGAGGAGTCGACGACGAGGAGACGAGGAGGAGGAGGAGGAGGAGGACGATGAGAACGAGGACGAGGACGAGGATGAGGAGGCGGAGAGGGGGAAGGAGTTGACGGCTGCGGCCGCGCCGCTCTCAGGCGCTGCGCCGTAAGGCACAGGTCTCGGTGGAGAGCGCGCAGGCGGCTTCGGCTGGTGGCGGCCTCCCTCGCCATCGGCCACTTCCTCATCGTGATATCATCCTCGTCTCCCTCCTCGTCTCCACCCCTTATCCCCCTTATGCTGATCTTCTTCTTCTTCCTCCTGCGCCACTCTTTCCCCCTCATCATCCTTCTCCCCCTCCTCGCCTCCCCCCCACACGCACCGGGGGGGGAGCGGAATTGGCCGACTAGGGGCGCCGTCCTCCTCCTCCTCCTCCTCCTCCTCCTCGTCCTCCTCCTTCTCTCCCTTCTCCTCGTCGTCATCATAAGCATCACCATCATCCGCGCCATGATCAGCATCGACACCATCAGCAGCACCAGCATCGTCACCACACCGTGATCATCATCCTCATCATCATCAGCAGCGTCATCATTATCACCATCGCGATCGCCATCATTATCATCGACACCATCATCAGCATCATCACCACACGCGTCATCCTCATCCTCGGCATCATCATCACCACCACCATTACCATCGTCACTCTCGTCGGCACAACCATCATTCTAGCATCATCTTCATCATCCAAATCATCATCACAACCAGCATGAACATCATCATCATCACTTCAATGATTATCATCATAGTCAGCATCGGCAGCATCGGCATCATCAGCATCACCAACACCATCAACATTATCATTCGCATCACCACCACCATCACCATCACGAGCACTAGCACCATCACCATCATGATCATCACTACCATTACAATCACCACCACCACCAGCATCATCATCAACCTTGTCAACATCATCATCATCATCATCATCATCATCATCATCATCATCATCATCATCGCCATCGTTCGCAGTAACACCATAGTAATAACCAAGATCATCATCCGCGGCATCACTATCATCATTATTCGTAAGGGCTTCGCCCCCTGCCGCTGCCCCCCCCCCCCCTCTCTCTGATGATGGGCAATGCAAGAGCGAAGTCATGAGGCCTTGGCGCCGCCGTGAAGTAGCGTCGGGACTTCACACGAAGACGATGAGTAACCGGCAAGACAAACTGAGATTCTGATGATATATTTGAATGTGGTGTTGTATCTCGATGGTTTAAGGCTTCGGATACGCCAGTTGTGCAAACTTTACATGGGCTTATGGGTGAGATGTACGGTTTCCTGGCCGAGATTGCAACGTAATGTACGAGGGTGTATGGCCTCGGGGAAGCAGACATTGGGTAATGTACGAGGGTATATGGCCTCGGGGGCGCGATTTTCATATATTTTACGCGTCCCACGCCCCCCCCCAAGGAATTCAGACAACGCGATTCGGGCGTGGTAACTCGGCTCCTTCTCGGCTCGCCCCCCCCTCGCGCGGTCCATCAACAAGCAACAGTAAACAGCAATTAACAGAACTGTAACAGTGGAAGCTGGAAACTGGAACTGGCCCAGGGAACAGCAAACCTTGGTCCTACAGCCTGGTGGCCCCACAAGGGGGCCCGCGGATTGTCATCAGCATCATCACCACTATCATCACACCATCATCACCATCACCATCACCATCAACATCATCATACCCATCATCATCACCATCATCATCTGTATCGACTTTGGTTCAAGCCATTTTAGCTCGCGGCTCAAGGCCAAGATGGTGATTCAGTAACTGCCTAGGCGGGGTGGGCGCTCATGCGTTCGCAGCACCAACCAGGGGTGAGCTGCCACCCATTGCGAAGCTTCGCCGTCCATATCCTAGCTGTTTCAGCTCCCCATATCACCTTCGCTGCGCTTCGGACGGAGACAGCGCGTCTTATTGAGTCCTCGTGGCGACACCAGTTGTCTACCGAATGGCTTCAGATCGCGGCTCAGGTTCCAGTTCGTCCAATCCCAGTGTTCCCAAACAGCGTCGCTTGCATCATCGTCGGCACGGAGCACACAGTGGATCACGCAGTGATCGAGGTGTCTCCACAACACCTGCCGCAAGCGGATCACATCGCCGCGATCGACAAGGCCGTGCGCCGAAGGAGCCACCAGCTCGGCACCGAGATCAGGGAGGACGTGAAACAAGGTTATCGTCGTCCAGGCAGCTCGGGAGGAGGCGCGTCTAGACTCCAACAACAGCAGCAGCAGCGACAAGCAGCATAAGCCTGTCAGCTCATGGAGGGTGCCGACGACCTTCCCACTTTTCCAGGTGCAGAGAGGCCCCGAGCTGACCCACTTCGCAATCGAGATCCATGCGCAAATGCGCGCGCTACTCCAGTGGATGGGCCACCCACGCCAAATGCTCAACAGCGTGCTGGGGGACATGGCGCTGGGGCAGGCCAGGCGCTGGAAGCCAGGCCCACTACCATCGTCACCGAACAGATGCAGCTGGCCACATCGAGACTCCAGGCCGAGACCACCTCTATCCTGCAGTCGGCCACGTCCACCCTTCTGACATGCAAGCAGTCCCCTTTTAAGTTTGCCAGCAGGATGCGCGGCTGGACGCGTTGGACCACGCGGGCAGGGGCATCAATCAGAGGGCCCACGTCGTCGAGCAGGCGCAGCATCAGTTGCGCGCCGACGTCGAGCGCATCCAGGCCAGCCTCGCTATGTCAGAAGCGACGCTGCCACCGCTCGACATGGCAAAGCTGGCGGTCTGGGCTCGCCCACCAGGCCCTCGCCTCCATTCCATCGGCGCAGCGACAGCGGTTCAGCCATCCGAAGTTCGCAGGGCGCTGGAGCCGTGGATCAACGCGGCTGGCGTGGCCATTTCGGACGTGGAGCTGGTCGGCGACGATCCATCCAGAAGATTCTACTTACGAGCGCTGGGCGGAGCAGCGGCGTCCTCTCGCGGCGTCCCCCTGGCGAGGAACCTCCGCCAATGGGGGTGCATGGAGGCACTTCCTCTGCAGCAGCGCAAATGGCGCCGTCGCCCCGCTCTGCGCCGACGTAAACAAGAGCCCCACAACTCTGCGGCCTGAAATACAGACGAAGAAGCATGTTCAAATACCCGGATAGCGGCGCGAGGGACATTGCTGCAGGAAAGTGGGCAACAACGGGATCGTCTCGTGCAGCGCCATCCTTATCGTCAGCGTGGAGGTCGGGGGCAAGGCCTCCGCAGCCGCACAACTCAGCCGGGGCGGTCTCGCCATTGCCACGCTTTGGATTGACAAACGAAGCATCAGTGAAACGTTCCAGCGCATATTTCGCGCCACCGACACATCGCTGTGGTCTATTTAATGGAAGATGGCGCCATTGGCGCATCAAACTGAGCAGTGCTGACTCAGGCTCAGGGCAATTGGCGTCTTGGGGTGCCACCCTCTGCGAAAATTCAATGCGCGCGCAATCTTTTACCAAAACTCACAAGTGTTCAAGATATCGTTGCAAACATGTGACGAAGCCCACACGCGGGCGTCGTCGCGCGCGCATGCCGAAATCCGTCAAAAACCGTCGGTTTCGGAAGGATTTGAACATCGAGTTTCCAGAACACATACATAAACACATGGTTTCGCAACACGGGTTTTCTAAAAAAACTGACGCGCGAGCTCTTGCGAAATCTTAAGAGAACCAAGGATTTCCCTACATTTTCAAACATACTACCAAACGAGCTTCGCGCGCGCGCATGTCGAAACGTTTCGAACGCCCTTGTGCGCGTGCCGTCGCGAGAATCCTCTGCAAAAGATGAAACGAAGTGCACGCGCGCGCGTCGTCGCGCGCGCGTGGCGAAATCCGTCAAAACCTTCGGTTTCGGAAGGATTGCAAAATCGAGTGTCCAAAACACATACAAAAAACTCAAGGTTTCGCAACACGGATTTTCAACAAAAGCGTGCCAGCGCGCTCTTGCGTCGTCGTCGTCGCCGTCGTCGTCCTCCGTCTTTCCTCGTCGTCGTCGTCGTCCTCTTTGGCGTCGTCGTCGTCTCCGTCGTCGTCGTCGCCGTGGTCGTCCTTCCTCCTCCCTCGTCGTCGTCGTCGTCGTCGTCGTCCGTCGTCGGCGTCTTGTCGTCGTCCCTCTTATTTCGTCGCCGTCGTCGTCCTCGTCATCAGCCTTCCTCCCTCGTCGTTGTCGTCGTCAGCGTCGCCGTCCTCCCTCCTTCTTCGTCGTTCGCGTCGTCGCCGTCCTCCCTCCTCCCTCGTCGTTGTCGTCGTTGTCGCCGTCGTCGTCCTCCCTCCTCCCTCGTCGTCGGTTTCGTCTTCGTTGGCGACGTCGTCGTCGTCGCCGTCGTCTTCGTCGTCGTCGTCGGCGTCGTGGTCGTCGTCGTTTCCATCCTCGTCGTCGTCGTCGTCATCCCTCCTCCTTCGTCGTTGTCCTCGTCAGCGTCGCCGTCCTCCCCTCTTCTTCGTCGTTCGCGTCGTCGCCGTCCTCCCTCCTCCCTCGTCGTTGTCGTTGTTGTCGCCGTCGTCGTCCTCCCTTCTCCCTCGTCGTCGTCTTCGTTGGCAACGTCGTCGTCGTCGTCGTCATCGTCGGCGTCGTCGGCGTCGTCGTCGTCGTCGTCGGCGTCATCGGCGTCGTCAATGGCGGCGTCGTTGTCGTCGGCGTCGGCGTCGTCGTCGTCGGTGTCTTCGTCGTCGTCTTCGTTGTCGTCGTCGAAGTCGTCGGAGTCGTCGTCGGTGTCGTCGTAGTCGTCGTCGGCGTCGTCGTCGTTGTCGCTGTCGTCGTCGGCGCCGGTGTCGTTGCCAAGTGCCACTTGGTACCGACCGTCACGGTCTTAAGAGGTCTTGCGACCAAGTTGCGGGTGGGAGGGTGGGATGTTTGCACGAGCAGTGGGGAGGACAGCTTCAGGTCAGTCAAAGTGAACTGCACCACATAGGTTGCAGCGCATAGACTGCAAGAGCCTACTGTTTGGAGTCCACGCTGGCTAACCTATTGTTTTTTGACAGGGATTGTGGGGGGGGCGCATCGGGTTGCTTGCGCATGCTCCGAATTTGGAGGCAGAGTGGGTTTCGTATTGTTTTTTGACAGGGGTGGTGGGGGGGAGCATGGTTCCTAGTTGGCTGCCGGTCGCCTGGGGGAGGGGGGGGCATATTAATAGTGAACCGTGAGCAACCCCTCCCCGAAGGGGAAGAAGGGGGTTGGATGAGAAGCCGCCCTAGACCACCTACGCCCAGATGGCTGGTGGGATGCCTCCGCGAGTCTTTCAAGGAGTACCCTCCAGGCTCGCAATGGGCTGCTGCACGTTGGGCAGGCCCCCCCCCCGAGCCCCCACAATATCCAGGTCTCGGAATGCTTGGGCAATCTATGTATACAACACCTTCCGACCGCAGGGTGTCCAGGGCCTGGCCGTGGACACGGTGTTCGCATGAATCGCGCTGACACTTGTGTTTCAAATTGCGCTTGCACCCTCCGACACCGAGGAGATGTGCAGTGGCTTCTCGAATACATGCGTACCGCAGCCACGCTGGCAGTGACGGTCCTGTCGGCCGATAGCGCAAACGCCCTAGTACACGGCGACTTGTATCGAAAGGAGGCGGTCGAGGAAAGGGCCTCGGCCCCCCGCTACGCATGAAACAATTTGTTAGGAGGGTCCCGTGGCGCACGCCAGCCGAGCAAGTGCATCTGGACGTGGGCAGCGATCTCCTCAGCAAGCTCGAACTCTGGCGTGCGAAGCATGTCAGGCTGGCACTTGCGGGTGGATGTAGCACCGCCCCCAGCTCCATGGAGACCTGAAGCCCGGTCTAGCGTCCACTGGGTGCAGTGTTGCCCGGTTGACAGTACACGTCATTTTGGCCAAAGCTTGCGCCGAGGTGTGCACCTTGCAAGTATAGGCAAAGCAGCTGCACACATCCTAGCCTGTTGCCTTCCTGGTCTCTATGGGTTTCCCAGAGCCCACATCAATGGCATATGAATTCATGGGGGTGGGATGTCTGAAATCCACTGGGCCGAAAAGTCAGGGGGGACCTTTCGGAGCTCTGGGGGTAATCCTGCCCGACGTCCATGTGCCGCGCCCTTGCAAGCTCGAGGCTTGCCTGATGCTGTGCAATCTGCGATGTGTGTCGTCGACTCTACTACTGCTTCAGAAGTCGCACGCATGCATAGAGTTTTGAGCGCATGCATGGCGCCCTCCGCACGAGTAAAACCTAGGGTGGGTTTTGCATTAGGGCTGCTCGTGTTGCCGCAGCCTGGCGGTTTTTCAGTGTTTCCCTTCCCCCTCCTCCTCTTCGTCGTCCTCCTCCTCTTCCCTCCCCCTTTCCTCCCCCTCCGGTTTCACCGATACAGCCTTGGGGATCTGACCTTGGGGATTCGTCGTCTCGTCCCTAGGTTTGCTCCCACAGGGCGGGGCAAACATAACACTTCAACATACCTGCTCCGCACGCTGGCTCCGTTTGTGCAGCTCCCCTTCTTCCTTCCCCCTTCCTTCCTCCTCCCCCTCCTCGTCCTCCATGATAGTTCACTCAGTCAAAACAGATGCCCAATCCCAAAAACGCGAGGGCCAAGACAAAATGCAGGCTCCTCGAGACTTCGGGGAGGGAGATCTTGGGGTAGGGTTTTACCAGGGCGGCGACGACGAACGCAAAAGATACCCCGAAATCTTTGGCCGATCTTCGAATCCTCGGTGAATCCGCGATTTTGGGATCGGGGATGTGTTTTTTCGTGGTCAATAGTGGTGACGTCTACCCGGCCAGTCGCTTTAAGTCACGGTCGCTATCGACTTTTAGCCTGCATCCACTGGGTGCGATTATAGCCCTCATGGTGGGAAGCGGATCTGTCTGATGTTGGACGGGCAACGTGTGGTTTGGTTTTGCTGTCGAGGTCATTCGCGTTGAAAAAAACGACTGCTTCAGAAGTCGAGGTTGAGCCCTCAGACGCTGATGCTGAGACAAGTGCCTAACGATGCTTCATCTTTAGATCAGACGAGAATTTTTTGGGACGCTCCAGGTTTCGCAGGTCACAGGCCTGGTTACAGGATGTCTGGCCCCGGGCAGCGGAGGTGGCGCCCTCCGGCCCTGCCGAGGATCCACCCTGGCCTCCCGCTCTGGGATCCCACGTCGCAGACGAGGACGCGGCGTGGGCCACGGGCCTGAATGCCCCCCACACCAGCAGCACCCGAGGAGCCAGACGCCCCACCCACCTCCTCCGTTACCTCCTCCTCCTCTTCTCGAGCCGAGCTTCTGCAAGCTCGAGCGCATCCGCTGAAACTGGAGCGGAGGCGAGGGCGCGGCGACAGCGCCGCGTTGCTCCCTGAACCTTTCGGCCATCCTGTGGCCTGAGGAGCGCTCAGACGCTTTCCATTCCAGCAAATTTGAGCTTCCGTGCGCACTTCTATTCGTAATTCGCGCTCGCACACACGACAAGAGAGTACGACCCAGCGTCGCCAGCCTGCGTCCGATCGGCCAGACGTCTCCCCCATTTCTCCCCTCTCCCCTGCCCTCTCCTCCCCCCTTTCCCCCCCTCTTCTCTTCGGGGGAGAGAAGCGACACCACCACCACCACTACGAGGGCACCTCCAGCGAGGACGTCGCGGAGGATGCCTCCCCGAGCTGGGGATCGGAGATGTCTCGAGTGGGCAGGGGGGAGAACACCTCCGGGAGGACTCCTTGGCTCCTCGCGAGGTGGTGCCGCTTGTCCTCGTCTCTTCTCTCCCAGAATTCCGGCGTCGTGTTTTTTTGTTCGCAGCGTGTCCCTGCCAGAGGGCTGGACCACTTCCCCTGGAGTGGGCTTTCATCTCGAGTGGTAGTTTCACGGCCCCAGGTCCCAGGGAGGGCCCCGGCGGCCGAAAACAGATGAACAAGGCATCCTCTCGTCCTCCCTTCCCCTCCCATTGTCCTTTCCCTCCCCCCCCCTTCGTCCTCCCTGGTATCCCCCCCCCCTGGCTCGCCGCTCGTCCTCCCGCCCCTGGCCAGAGGCCGGCGAGGAGCTGGAGAGCGCCCTGCTGGCGCTGCGCGAGCACGAGGCGGCGTCCCCGTCGCCCAACTGCCCAGGTCGGCACGTCGTCGTCGTCGTTGTCGTCGTCTTTGAAGGCAGACGTTGTCGTCGTCGTCGTCGTTGTCGTCGTCGTCGTTGTCGTCGTCGTCGTTGTCAACGTAATGGTTAAAAAAGAAGAGGGATTTGTCCGTTGATTTCGGCCTTCGGGTGCCCTCGCCGGGGCCCGGGGCCCGTCAAGCAGCGACTCGGGACGACAAGCCAGTCCCAGGACGGGGTCGGGATTTCCGAGGAGCCCGTGTTGAACGTTAAGTCGTCAGATCTCTTGGAAGTTAGCTTTGTCGTCGTCCTTGAAACCGTCGTCGTCGTCGTCGTCGTCGTCGTCGTCGTCGTCGTCGTCGTCGTCTTTGAAGTCGTCCGCCGTCGTGGTGGTGGTGGTGGTCGCCGTCATCTTTGGCCGTCGTTGTCCTTCTCCTCCCTCTCTCTCCCCCCTCGGCCCCCCATCCCCATCTTCTTGTCGGTCCCTTCTCCCTTCCCGCCCCCCTCCTTCGTCTCGACGCGAGTAGGGGAAAGGGGGGGGTGAGGAAGAGGAGTTGGATGAGGTCCTGTAAGAAAATGTAATTATGCTCTCACCAGCACTGGACGCCATGGCAAAGTCAGGTTGAGTGCAGCTTGATTGCGTTGTCGCATCTTCAGTGGTTGAAAAGCCTGCGCCACATAAGTGCTCAGCATATGTCAGCATCTGGCTTGCTTTTGCGCAGTAAGACTTTGGCGCGCTGGGGAGGAGATTCGAGCAGTGCGCACGAAGAGGGAAAGGCGGGGAGTATACGTCATTGGCATAGGTCATGATGTTGATGATGATGATGATGATGATGATGGTGGTGATGATGATGATGATGATGATGATGATGATGATGATGATGATGATGATGATGATGTTGGTGTTGCTGTTGCTGATGTTGATGATGATGAGGATGAGGTGGATGATAATCATAATTAGAATGAGGATGATGATGAGGGCGAGGATGAGGATAATAAGGATTAGTATTATGTTGCTGATGATACTGAGGATGGGAAAGGGTGATGATGAGGATGAGGATGAGGATGAGGATGATGATCAACTTTCTGATGATGGTGATGATATTGACTGTGATGATGATGTTGATGATGATGATGACGGTCGTGGTGCTGATGGTGTTGTTGCGGATAATGATGACAAGGCTGCTGCTGCCGTTGGTGATTATGACGTGAATGTGGATGAGGATACTAATGGACATTGTGACGGTGACGATGCTGCTGATGATGATTGTGCAAGTGGCGGTGGTGATGATGATGATGATGATGATGATGATGATGATGATGATGATGGCGATGCTGCTGATGGTGGTGATAATGATGCTGATGCTGATGACGCTGATGGTGGTGATGCTGATGATTGCTGCGGCGGTGTTGACAACGGTGCTAGCCATGTTGGTGATGGGGATGGTGCTTAATGTGGTGGACGGTGACGAGAGGTGGATACGGAGGAGGACAACGAGGACATGTTTCAATACTTCTGACCATGTCCCAGGGGCCATTCTACAGGCAGCGATGCGAGTGCACTCCAGGTCACGGCTGAGAGAGAGGAGCACGAGGAGCAGAAGTAGAATAATGAGTTGGAGGAGGAGGGGGAGGAGGAGGAGGGGGGAGGACGCAGTACGGGGGAGGAGGAGGAGGAGGAGGAGGAGGAGGAGGAGGAGGCGGACGGGTATGATGACGAAGGGGAGGAAACGCTTTTGGCCGCGCAACCCAATGCGCTAGGGATTTTGACCCCCCACGTCCAATATACACCACGCGAGGGCCTGAAATTCCAGTAGTCGAGCCAGCCCTCGCGCGACACGAAGAGGCGGGGCAGGAGGGACAGAGAGACGGAGGAACGACAGCGAGGAGGAAAGGAGGGAGGGGAGGCCGTCGGGGAGGAGGAGGAGGAGGAGCAGGAGCAGGAGCAGGAGCAGGAGCAGGAGCAGGAGGAACTCCGTAGCCGTTTTGGGTCAAGTCCGTGGTGTTTCGCTCAGGGACTTGGCATTTGGCGTGGGGGGGATTGCGGCCCCCGCAGGTTTGCCCAGGCGTCTGCCCGCCTGGCTCAATCTTTCACTACGTTCCCCTTAAGGTACATCTCGGCTCCTCTCGCTCTGGCCCGATGGTGTCGTCAGGTTCTTCTCGTCGTCCCTGGGCGTACACCGAGGGTGCAGAGAGTGAAGAGTGGCACATCAAAGGTCGTGGGCGTGGAAGCAAGTTCAGTTCGATTCCTTGTGGTGTTTGCGGCTGTCCCAAGAACCTGTCACACTTCAACTGGTGCAAGCAGTGCAAGTCTCCCCTGGTGCACGTCGTTCCCGTGGAGCCCAAGCCGCCTGGTGGTCAGTGGGCCCTTTGCGACAGTTGGGAGGTTGCAGACTTTACCGGTGCAGTCAAAGGTACAGGGAAGAAGGGCAAGGACAAGGGCAAGGGCAAGGGTAAGGGCAGTGATGTCTTCGTCGCTGCTGGCAGTGGTCCTGCCCTTGCTCCTGGTCCAGTTCCAGATTTGTCGGCAAGTGAAGCTCGCACGTTGGCAGAGCTTTCTCGGCAGGCAGGTGATGCAGCCAACTCGCGGTACTAAGAGCAGCTGGCGTCCTCCCTGGCGGCTCCCAAGCCCAAAGATGTGGTTGTGCCTCTTCAACAGCGCGTGCAGCAGGTGGCCGCAGACATTAAGAAGGAGGAGCGCAAGCTGGAGCATGAGTTTGGCAAGGTTTGTCGCTGGCGTTCTGAGCTCGAGGATCAGAATAACATGGCGCTGCAGTGCAAGGCGGAGCTGGCTGAGGCCGACGCTCTACGCAAGTCTGTTGTGCAGGAGGTGGCCTCGGCGACTCTGCCCAAAGAGGTCGCCCCAACAGTTTCTCAGGTGGGCATCGCGGATCTCTGCGACGGCAAAGTGGCTTTCGACTCCCCCTTCAACTTGGACAGTTTTTCCAATGTGCAGAAGGAGGTTGAGGAGTTTGAGCTCTCGCCTGAGGATGAGCAGGAGCTCGCGGCTCGCAAGCAGACCATGTCCGACTCCATCAGGGAGCTGGCCTCCAAGCTCCTCAAAGGTTTTCTGGAGCTTCGGCCGCCGCAAAGGCCAGCCATGAGGACCATAAGTGCAGGCTCACCAGGAAGAATCGCAAGGCCGAGGAAGGCATTGCTGCTGGGGGCTCTGCTGCCGCTCCGCCCGCTGGTGCTGGCGACGCAGTCGGCAGCTCCTCTGGCGCTGACGGGCCAGGAGGACCTCCGCCACCAGGAGCTCCAGTTCCTGCCGCCGCCGCCCACGTGGAGCACGTCGAGGACATCAGGGTGCGGGTCGAGCGCGAGCTGTCAGGGGTGCCCCCCTCCGCTGGGCCAGCTTCAGCGCGAGGGGGTGATCCGGGATCCGCGTATTCGCAGCCGGCTCTCTTCGACGATTTCGCGTTCGTCATCCTCTTCGGCCACTTACTTGTCAGGATTAGAGGCTGCAGGCGTGGGCGCGCCATTCTCGCTGCCTGAGCTTGCAGTTCTCTGTGACGAATTTGTCTCAGGTGCTGGAGCTGATCCTGCCATTCGCGATATTTGTGACTGGGTGCAGTCCCAGCCTGCGCCGCCGCTGCATTCTCGTTGCACGCGTGCCGCCAGAAGACGCGCGAAGGATAGGTGCCCTTCCCTGTTTCCCGCGCTTCTGCTGTCAAAGCCAGCGCCTTTGTCGCCGGCGCGGTTGTCTCCAGAGTCCGAGGCCCCAGGTCCGTGCCCCCCACCAGGTCCTGGCCCTATCCGATTCCGTGTCCCTCACCATCTGGACTGCGAACGTCAACGCTTGGGGCGCCCTTCTGGACCTTCTGGAGTCGGAGCCCGACGCGCACATCTTGCTGGTCCAGGAACATCGTCTTCGGGGGCCGGAGGCCCGTCACCGCGCCTCGTCGAGCTGTCTTCGGTTGGGCTGGAAGTCTATCTGGATGCCAGGCATTCCTGGCCCGCAAGATGGAGATAGCTCGGGCGTTGCGGTTCTTGCTCGCGGTTGGCGTGGCCTGCGCGAGGTGGAAGGTGGCAACTTGTTTGACGGCAGAGTACTGGCTTGCATGGCGCGCGCGCCCGCCTCGCCAGGCCGTTGCTTCTGCTCGCTCTATCTGGGGCACTCGGTGGGCCTCGGCGCGGCCAACTCGGGCGCGGTGGCCAAGCTTCGTGAGTTCTCGACCAACCGCGATGGCGAATTCGTTGTAGCAAGTGATTTTAATTTTAATCCGGAGGTCATGCAGTCCCCAGGGTTCGTTTCTCAACTGGGGGCCCACCTGGCGTTTGCGGGGGCCCGCGCCCATATCCCTTGTCAGGGCAGGCCAAGCGCGTTTGATAATTTTGTCTCTTCGGGTGGGCTCGGCAAAGGTGAAGGCTTTTCGCATCGCCCCCACAGGCCAGCGAGCCTGCGTTTCCACCCCCAGCTCCTACACCTCAAGGCCCTGGCCTTTCGCAATCTTCCCCCTTTGCCTCCGACCCCCCATGCGGGGCCGGCCCCCCAGTTGCGTGATGAGGGCTGGTTCCAGGTCCTTGTGTTTGGGGGGGGGGCGCTAAGGAAGCGGTTGCGAGAGGCGATGGCGCTGGTGCCGTCGCTCGCATGCCACTCGCGCATTAGCTGTAGGCCGATCAGGCCGAACTCGGCCTCGAGCGCATGCGCGGCCGCGAGTTGCCGATCCATGTGTCCCGAGGCAGACCTGTCGAAACGCATTGGAAGCACATCGTTAAGCCCCTCAAGCCCCTGAGGATTCCATGCTCAGAGGCCTCGGGTGGCTTGAAACTCAGGGGCGCGCTTCCCTGGCGGAGCTCGAGGCTTTCGGGGCCCGCGACGGCAAGTTTACGTGCATAGCGAAGTCGCCCAAGGCACCGCCCCCCTCGGTCGCTGCCGCAGCTGTTGCGCGCGAGGGCATTTTCTCTGCCCAGCGGCGAGCTTGGCGGTTACTGCCGCCGCTTTCTGAGATCTAGATCAGGCCCCCCAAGATTGTGGGGATTGTCTCGCCG